AAGAGGGCCTTTTCTGCTGTGGCCCCCACTCTGTGGAACAACTTACCACCCAAGGTGCGGTGTACCCCCACTCTTATGACCTTCAGGAAGAGTGTGAAATCTTGGCTATGCCAGATGGCCTGAAGGCCAGATGGGGGCTTGCACCAGTGGAAGTGGCTTGTGGGGTAATTGATTTTACCTCCCCCCCCGTCATCTTGAATGTTTTTAGTTTTTATGTATAGGGTTTGTTTTATATACCCTGACTTTTTAATTAATTAATGTGGGTATTTATTTTTTAAGAGTTTTGGGGTTTTACTCTAATTATGAGCCACCCAGAGTCACCCGCTGGGGGAGATGGGCAGCACACAAATTTAATAAATAAATAAATAAATAAATATAACATTTTAAGATGTCTGGACTTCAACTCCCAGCATCCCAAAGCCATGGTATCATTAACATAGGACAAGGTAACTTCACACCAATTCAACTTCAAAATAATCAGTCTCTTAGAGTGCTTGCAGTACCTCCAGGCAGCACATGCCCAGGCAGAACAAGGAGAAAAAAGGCCACACAAAATAGTAGAGACATTGATTTAATCTCTAGAATCAAATAAAAGAGATCTCTAGAATCAAAGAGAAGAAACTGATGCTACTAAGGTTCAAAATACAATGTAGGACCTTCCATGGAACTGACCTTAATACACATTGTAAGGAGATTAGACAGGGGCTGGATAATCAAACCACACCCAGTGGTACAATGACTACAATAACAGTATGTTATTCATACAAGTTATCAAGTTAAACAAGCCAGCAAGGAGGGACTATGTGCTGCAGGAGTCTCCTTTAAAAAACATCCTATTAAGTTATGATAGCTTCAAAGATTCTTCCCAAAGACAGCAAAAGTGGTCTTCTCAAACAGATGCATTTCAGCTATATGTATAGGCCTGGCATGCAGAAGTACATACAATGAATGTGTGTCAGTCCTTTAAAAATAAAAGCCAAGACTACTGGCAGAATAATGTATCTATTAAAGTCAAATACCTCCATGTCAAGCTAAACTCCTGGTGATTTTATGCACGGGCTGTTGAGTTTTCTTGAAAACAATACTGTATATAAACAGTTCACTATTATCTTGTTTAGGGATGATTTCAGCTTCCCTGACTCTCTAATCTACTGTCCTGCAATTTCTTAGTGATCTTCCATCCATGTATTAATCCTCCTTAGCTTTCTGAGATCAGCCAAGGTCTAACAGGTTCTGCCATCTACTATGAAAACACTTACAACATTCATCTTAACAGGGGCTGGATAATCAAACCACACCCAGTGGTACAATGACTACAATAACAGATCTGACATCCCATCAGATCTGGCAGAGGAGGCATGCTGCGGATCCCGTCTGCTAGAGAATTACACTTGGCAGTTCCAAGGAGGCAGGCCTTCTCTGCTGT